CCTCCAGAACACTTTCCAAGGCGGAAAAGAACTACTCCACCACTGAACGAGAATGCCTAGCAGTCATTTGGGCAATTGGAAAATTTCGTCCATATTTATATGGAAGGCCCTTTGAGGTTGTTTCGGACCATCATTTTTGTGCTGGTTGGCTGGTCTGAAGGACCCTTCTGGAAGACTAGCAAGATGGGCCCTCAAACTTCAAGATTTCGACGCAACCATCACCTATAAAAGCGGGGTCAAGCACAAAGACGCGGATTGCCTATCGAGATACCCGCTGCCAGAGTCGCCTGCTCTGACGTCGCTTACATTAGTAAGAGAACAACAGAATCTAGATCCTGATATAACAAAAATTTCAAATGCCTTAAACCAGGGTGAAGGGGCCGAGAGATTCGAAATGAAGAACGGTCTACTCTATAAGCGTAATTTTGATCCATTGGGTAGACGTTTGCTGTTGGTTATACCGAAGTGTATGAGACCAGATATCCTGAAGGAGTTCCACGATGTTCCGACCGCGGGCCACCTAGGTTTTGCAAGGACCTACGACAGAATAAGAAAGAGATACTTCTGGACGGGCCTTTACAACAGCGTTCGACGTTATGTCTCCCATTTCAAGGAGTGCCAGCGAAGAAAGGGAGAAAACAAACTGCCTGCTGGAAAACTAATTCCCATTCAACCCCCGTCATTTCCGTTCCAGAAAATAGGCATGGACCTGCTTGGGAGGTTTCCCCTTTCGGACAAAGGAAATCGATGGATAATTGTATGTACAGATTATTTGACCAAATATGCAATCGCCAAAGCCCTGCCATCTGGTACGGCTGCAGAAATCGCGACTTTCATACTGGAAGAAGTAATTTTGAAGCATGGCGCTCCACGCGAAATAATAACTGACAGAGGTCGGGCCTTCATGTCTCAGATGGTCAAAGAAGTCACTTCCCGTTGCAAGATAAGCCACATTTTCACCACGGCTTATCACCCTCAAACAAACGGATTGACAGAGAGGCTGAATAAGACCCTGGGTGACATGCTATCCAAGTATGTGGACGCCGAGCAGAGGGATTGGGACAGCGTTCTGCCGTATGTCATCTTTGCATACAACACGGCCCAACAAGGAAGTACCAGATTTTCTCCTTTCTTTTTGGTTCATGGTCGCGAGGCCGAGACCCTCCTTGATGTCCTGCTGCCTTACGAAGACGAAACATCGGATCATGACTTTGGAGGTCAGATGGTAACCAAGGTAGAAGAAGCACGGCAGCTCGCTCGGATACACATTTTGAGATCCCAGGAGAATAACAAGTACCATTACGACCAGGTGCATCGATCTGTTGAGTACCGTGTTGGGGACCTCGTCTGGGTGTTCACCCCTGTTCGAAAGACAGGGTTGTCCGAGAAATTACTAAAGAAATACTTCGGGCCGTATAAGATAACGAGGAAGGCGTCGGAAGTGAATTATGAAGTGGAAGCTCTGGAACAAAGTTCAAGACGGAGGAGACGCAGCCAGAAGGACGTCGTCCATGTGCTCCGGATGAAGCCCTACAGAGATCCTGGCCAACAGCTGGTGATCGGAGACTACAATAGCTGGGACAGCGAGGACGCTGTCGACATCCTGGAGGGAGGGCTGTGAAATATGAATGCATCGCCATTTGGAAAGGATGCGCGGGGGGAGGCCCGGGAGGAGTACGCGCGGATTAGGTTGTTCTTAGCTGTTTTTTGTAAACATACTGCGCTAGCTCCCGTTATTCTCTTCTTTGTAACCTTACTTTAAATAAACTATATTTAATCTCAACATCGAACTCTACTTAATTTATTCTCTACTCTACAATATATATGTTTCATAGATGTCTTTCAGAATTTATCATACTTTTTCTGTGGTTGAAATTTCTTTTTTGTTTCCAAGCAGCTATAACAATGAGTCCGTTAGGTTAGAGTCCTGGCTTATAGAAATAAAAGACACTCTATCGGAACCATTCAGTCCAACACGGTGATTTAAATGGACCCGATGGACTTAGTTACTCTAGTGCAAGGAATCAGGGCTCCCCAGAGTTCTATAGGTCTCCTTGGGGGCGAGCGACGTCGCTATAAATAAATAGTGTCACACCGAGGCAGGTACTTTTTGGAAAGGCGTGGAAACCTGGCTAAATAAAACCTAAAATATGAAGGGGCATAAAATATCTTCTTCTTCTATATATATATGGTAATTTAAACCAACAACCCCATACTGTGTATATAACTTATAATAAGATTGTCATGTTGTATACAGAAACACATCTATAAATAATTATGCGCATGATTAATCTGTGTCATTGCATCGCCATATGTAATGTAATTTGTACAAAGTGGATAAATAAATAAAATCTGTAATAGATTTAAGAGTTGAGCTAAAGCAGAGATCGAGCATAGTATTGCCAAAACAACAAAGTCTAAAGATGGAAGTCATAAATCAGGTCGATTTACAATTCCCACAAACAAGGCCACCCACACTGTCACATGTGGTGGAATGCAGAGACCCCTCTCACAACTGGACATGCCAAGGCCCCCCTTTCTCAGAAACGCCCCTGTCACATAAGGTCGCCCCGTCTTTAATCTATAAATACATCACCTTACAGTGGCTTGACAGTTCAGTTCAGTACAGTTGAGTTTAGTTCACCCTCGACGCAAGCTCACGTCGGTTGTCACCAAGGTCCTCCTCATTCACCATGTAGACTTGTAAGGACTCTTCTATCTCCATCTTTCGCTCCTGGCTCAACTTTTATCTGTTAACGGAACTTTCTTAACGCAATAGTGTCTTCGTTTTTTGTGGGGACATCCCAAACTTTCCACTCTGCCTCGACCACGACTGCCTGTATTTTGTGAGAACTTTTAAAGGTCTTCCAAGGTGCAGAGAGGTACTGGAAAACTCTACATCCTGACTGTTCCTCTCGGTCAACACACTCTACACAAGGCTTACCAGAACTTCAACTTATTTCAGTAGTCGACATCAAACTCAACAAATCATTACAGTGAGTCGACAAGGACATCTCTTATTTCATCATATATATATATAAATGAATGTTTGTATGTTTGTTTGTATGTCCGGTATACAAATTCGCAGTAGTTCACTAATTCAAACCAAAATTTCCATACATAGGTAAAAAAATACGGAGAAGACGATAGGCTATTTTAAAAAATATATAAATCAATTATTAAAACTCTATATTTTTAGACCGAAAATGATGATGACGATATTGCTGTATCATGTTTGATTATCAGATACAAAATTATATCGGGAAAAATTCCAAAAAGCAGAGACCACGGGTGAAACCAGTTCATTATTTTGTACGCAGGAACAAAATTCTAACAGAAAAACATTCTTTCGAGCAGAAAACAAAAGCCAGATCATCTTTCTATAAAAATATCGCTTCTCAGACACAAAGTTTGGAGCGGGACGTTTCACAAGAATGACATCCACGGCGCCAATTTATAATTGTAACGAATAGTATTTGAAAATCAAAATAATATAATTTTCAAATATTGTTGCGAAAACTTATATATTTATTTTTATATTTTAAAAACACACAATGTTTGGAGCGGGACGTTTCACAAGAGTGACATCCACGGCGCCAATTTATAACTGTAACGAATAGTATTTGAATAAAAACAGTGACATCCACGTTGTTTCAAGAACGTCAAAACGAAGCCAGTGGACTATGCAAACAGCGCAAGAGCTTGGATGACTAGTTATCTTTTTGAGAAGTGGCTGTTGAACTTGGACAAAAAGTTCACAAAAGAAAAACGAAAAGTTATTTTATTTATCGATAACTGTACTGCACACAACTCAATCCCTCCAATGGAAAATGTGGAAGTAATTTTTTTTCCTGCCAACATGACTTCGGTTATCCAGCCCATGGACAAGGGAGTCATAAAAAATCTTAAGCATTTTTACAGACGGTTTCTAGTTGAGAACATATTGACAGGAGATTCCGAAGCCCTTAAAATCAAACTAGACGTTCTTCAAGCCTCTCGATTGTGTAAGAAAGCTTGGGACCAAGTAACGTCCGAAACGATCAAACACTGTTTTAAAAAAGCTGGTTTCGTAAAAAAGGAGGAGGATGAAGAAAATGCAGATGATATTATAGCGGAAACGATGCCTTCAGTTGACGGCTGGGAGGACGTCATTTCTAATCCTACCATCTCGTATGACGATTTCTTAAACGTGGATGACGATGTTGCAGTATGTGGTGAGATAATCGACGCAGATATCATCGCTGAAGTGCTCAACCACAACATTGAAAAACAAGACGGCGACGAGGCATCGGGTGATGAAGACGAGTCATCAGTTGCCGGGGAAATGAACGTTCCAAGTGCGGCGGAAGCAACGAACTATATCATGCAACTTAGACGCTTTTTTGAAAGTAAAAATGACGTAAGTCCCTCTATTTTCCACTCGTTGAATATGTTAGAATCCTTTGTCCTTACTGAAAGACTTAATTCTAGAAAACAGGCTAAGATTTCTGACTTCTTTGGCAAAAATTAAATTTCAGAGTTCCAACGAAGCAGAATAATCTGTACATTTTTTTAACCAGCAATCTGCCTTTTTTTTGTACATTAATACATCAGTTTTGAAATTATTTAATATGTATATAGTATATACATACAATTATTGCACATGATCTAAATATACGGTAAAAATGTAAATTTACAGCAACTAATGTTATTCTTAATAAAGGAATTGATCGAAATTGTGAGATTTTTATTGTTTTAAGCCTTTTTATTCAAAACATCTTTAATTCGAATTTTTGGATAATTCGAATTTTTTATGGTCCCTTGGGGTTCGAATTATCCAAGTTCGACTGTATAATGCGGCTTATGATTGTAGAACGACGTTTGGCAATTTTACCGCCAATGTTTCTTTTGAACGAAAAATCGTAATTTATTTTAAGGAGAAATAACGACTATTTCTATCCTTGGGGATGAAGTATGAAAGAATGAATTGTGAAGAGTAATGATAAGCGGAAAAATAAAAGTGTCCAGGGATAGAAATCGCACCTACAGACTTCTGCTTACCGGGCAGATGCCGTGTCCACTAGACTACCCTGTACATATTTTTCCGCTCGCAAATATTATATAAAGTTAATTCACAATACAATATAATGCGGCTTATGATTGTAGAACGACATTTGACAATTTTACCGCAAATGCTTCTTTTGAACGAAAAATCATAATTTATTTTAAGGAGAAATAACGACTATTTCTATCCTTAGGGATGAAGTATGAAAGGATGAATTGTGAAGAGTAATGATAAACAGAAAAATAAAAGTGTCCAGGGATATTTATGCATATTCATTGTTTTTTGTTTTTTTTAATATCGGTGCGCAGCACACGCTCTGGAGGTTCCTCAGTAAAAAAATCTCTTCATAAAGTAGGAAAAGATAAATGATCTCAAATCCCCCCCCCCCACCTTCTTTGTATAAAAAAAAATCAATTGTGATATTATAACACTATGTGGCGCTGAATTTGTTTATACAAATTGTAATGTCTTGACAAAGGTTGGCATTCAGCCAACCGAAATATTGGCAAACAAATATTTTTATTCAATACAATATATACCTTTTTATTATCTAAATGAATCAGTTTGTTTTCCTTAATAGTAGGTTACCGAAACTTTAGAAATAATAAAAAAGAAAGGCTGAAATGAATATTAAATCTTATATATCAAGTTTTAAGGTAATCAAAATAAGGATTTGCATTAAAAAGTAAGGAATAATACATTTTCACAGAGAGAGAGAGAGAAACCGAAAATATATAAACTTAATAAAAATACACCACGTTTAATCTATATATTGTAAGAAAAAATGATCAATATATTTCAAAGAATGTAAGGAATACGAGTAAAACTTATTTCGAAAACATTCACAAGTTGAATTATCATTTATTTTTATGGACTTGAAAAAAAAAATCAAACTTTTCTCCCTTCTCAAAAATCTTTGAGCCAAAGTTTTTATAAAATACAAACTACGGTTGTGTGGAAAGAAGAAAACCTTATCAGGTTCCAACTGTGGGTTAGCTAAGTCCGCCACTTTGGAACAATCTTTGGAAGTTGGGATCCCAAGGGATTCCATCCTCATCGTTTGGCAAGATATTCCACGGATCTAACCACTGATTTATCTTTCTGTGCTCTTCTATTTTTTTTTATCTAATTATATAAATACCTTAACTTGTCTTAAATCAAAAATTATGATGATAAATAACAATGAAAAATTTGTAATGAAAAATATTGTATTTAGCAATTCGTTTTCTAAATAAAAGATAACATAGAGAGGGGTCTGTGATATAATAAATAAAGATAAACTTTAATATTGAATTATTTAATAATGTGTCTCTCCTTCAATATATTACCAGTCATTGAAACATATCATCTTTGATCAATGAACCATCATTAAACAATATTAACAAAAAATCGAACTATACACATGTACAAAACTTAAGGAAGTAGAAATTACTGGCGTTGCCGTCTGTTTTTTTTTAAGGAGACAGAGGAAATTTGTTTACATTTGGTTATCTCGTGTGTCTTCAATATAGGTCACTGTATATCAAATATCATTTCAGGGTTATTGTATGATTCCCGATATATATGCTAAAAGGTATAACTTCCTTAAGTTTTTCCTATGAATGTATACATATAATAATCCGTTTGAGTTGTGTAAGATCCTATCGACTCACTGTAGGATTGGTGTTTACCTTGTCGGATTGCTGTTGACTCTCTGTAACAATCCTGTTGAATCCTGTCGACTCTATGTGAGAATCGGTGTGAATCCTGGTGAGTCCTGGTAAATTGTTGAATCCTAGGTCGGATTATGTTGAATTGGTGATTGATGGCGCAGTCTTGGTCGAATGGTGGTTTTCCACAGGGGAATAACGAACACACCTGGATGGGATAGAAAATAGACCTTGCGAAAGGGAGAGTGATGAGACTGGAGGAGGTACTTGGCCTTTCACATGATGGAGCGGACACTACCTTGGTTGGAGCCTATGTTGAGCACACCTTGCTTCTAGCACGGTCACCTACCTTCTTTTTTAACTTCTTGTCCGAGATCATCGTCATTAACTCTCTCGACTTCTCATTGGTGGAGATCCTTCCACGTGCTCTCTGATGATTCGCTATCAGTTGGTCATGCTTGAAGGTGATTGGTTGTTGATTTGTCATGCTTAACTGTGATTGGCTTAGTACCTCCATTGTCGCCATGATTGCAATCTTCCAGGAAGAAGGTCTTTGAACTCAAGTTTAATGGGTCCTGGGCAGTGACCTTTACTTCCTGGATGATGCAATCCTGTTAATTGTTATTCCCTTTTCGCGAAGCCTAACTTTTATTAAATCTTTTGACGATACATTGCATAGATTGTGGTGGGGTTACATATTGCTATATACAGATTATCACATACATATAATCAAGGGCAAACTTCAAACAATATTAGAGTCCCAAACTGGAATATCTCCCCACAATTCAAGATAGTTCAAGACAGGGAAGTGCTATCTTGTGGTATTCCTATCAGAGACCCTCAAATGATGAAGTAGTGTTACTTATGTTACTGCGATATATATTGTGTGCGAAGTCTATTAAAATGAATTTAGTCGCCTTCAAATATTTCCAAACCCAAGAAAAAGTATCAATAGACCAGAAATATCCCAAACCGGGGCGTTTCCTAATATTTTTTGAAATGATAAACTCATTTATATAAGTCATTAATGTAAATATTATTACGTAGAATAAAAAGCGCATTCCAGAATGGAATGTTTCAGAACGTTCAAGAATAATGTAAAAAAATCGGAGAACAACTGATTGGCCAATCTAAAGCGATTGCGCAAGGCTTAGCTCTTGCGGCTTTTGATTGGTTCACCAACCATGACCGTTTTGGAAAGATCTACTCCGGGATATATAGGGATGAGGAACTCATGCTGGGAAGAAAAATAACGAAGCTACGTGGTGGACTCCAAGCAAGCTGCTGTCTCAAGAGATCGGACTGCTGCTTACCGCCGACGCCAGTGTACTTCCTGGAAGATTATAGAAGGTTCTACCAACCTCTGTCTCTTGTTCTGCTCCTGCTTTCCTTCACCACGCTGCAGTTGGTGAGTTTGTAACTGCTGTTTTCTTTATTGTTGTTTTATTTTGCACTCTAATGTAATTTGTTTTATCGATTAGACTTAAATAAAGTCCTAAAGATCCTTCGTACCCACGGAAGTTGTTCTTTGTCAACCAACAACGCAACAATATGATTACTGATATCTAAGTTGTTCATTTTGAAAGGTACCTGATACATTTATTTTTATCTGGAACGTTCAATTAAAATAATTGTATTAGAGAGTTTAAAGTATTATTTATACAAAGTATCTCCATTTGTATTTAAAAAAAAAACAATCTTTAAAGCCAAGGCCCTTTAATGGAGCGTTTTATAAAACCGTAAATAGCTTTATTTATTAGTATTACTATTTTTATTATCTCTATTACACACGTGGTATACATAAACCATTTTATTCGCAATCGAACGTTGTGGCCCACTGTACGTATTACATTCCAAACACGATGCGACGTCAGCCATCTCTGTCTTGAACTCGATGTACCATCTCGGCGACCGTTAAGCCAGTGCGTTCCTTCAATTGGTCCACGAAGCGTGTCGGCGGGCGTCCAGATTGCCCAGATTTCTTTCCGGTCAGTATGGTGTACTCCATTCCCCTGCGTCGCGCGATGTGACCGAAGACGTGGTATAGGCCATTATAATCATGATGGGTAGTTAGCGACTACTTTTACTGCAACCATGCCAATGTATAAACGTATAGAAAGCAGTTCTGATTTTATACTTACAAGTGTGGCAGAGCCCCGTATGGTTACTTGCACTAACTGGTGGGGTTGGACATTTGCAAGAATCGAGAAGCATTGAAGCAATTTTCAAAGTATTTTCGTTAGGCGTTTAAAAGGCAAGGGTTCGAGATAAGAATCTTCAATGGGCCTATTTACAAAAGCCTTGGCCTAAAAGATTGCCTTCAAAACTTATTGCAAAATTATTTTAAAAATCTAATAGGCACACTTTGAAATATCAATATTTATATACAGTATATTTGTGTTGAAATGCAATTTTTTGAAATACCTGTAACAATTCTTAAAGCTATACCGTTATTTTACATTATTGAGCATTATATTTGTTTGTATATACAGTAGAACCTCCCTTTAGCGGACACCTCTCCACAAAGGACAGTTTTCATTAGTAAAATTGCCCTTTTTACTATTTAGCAACTCTCCGGTAAGAGGACACCACTCTCTAAAGGACACTTTGGCTCTGCAATTAGGTGTCATTTACAGGGAGGTTCTACTGTATCATATTTGTTTCACGCAGAAATTTATAAAATGTATTTTACACTCAGTGTTACCTGGAGTGTAAGGTTTTATCGATAGGCAATTCTTGTACTCTCTATGGACTTACTGAAAGACGAACAGAGGGATCCTATACTCGTCTTCCTCCTTTTCTTCACCTCCTTCACCTTCTTGAATATCTGTCCAACTGCAAGCAAACAAGAGAGGATTTTAAGTAAATCTGTTTAACTACAAGCAAACAACGCTTTGGTATAACTGACTAACTACAAGAAAACAAAATACCCTTTTGGATATCAGGTCGATTGCAAGAAAAGAAGTAACCTTCACATTTGATCAACTGCAAGCAAACAAAAACACTTAGAAACATCTGGCTAACTATAAACAAACGAAAATAACACGAATATACGTTTGGCAAATTGCAAGCAAACAAAAATCCCCAGGTATATCTGCTCAACTGCAAGAAAACAAGAAAAACACTTGAGAAAATTTGGTCAACTGCAAACAAACATAACACCTTATACATATTTGGCCATTTACATCAAACAAGCAATAATTTTAGGAATTCTGGCCAATCGTAAGCAAAAAAAAAAGGAGAAACACTCGAGAACATCTGGCCAACTGCAAGAAAACTTAAGACATATTTAACAAACTACATGCAAACAAACAGTAGCTTTGAGAAATTCTGGCCAAATGCAGGCAAACAAGAAGAACACTTAAGACATATTTGGTCAACT